TGTTCAGTTACTTGGGGGAGACCACACCCAAGCACCCTGCCACCTCTCCCCAGAGCTGCAGTCAGGGGGCAGCACTGAAGGCCAGGAGGCCAACTGTAAGCAGAAAGAGGAAGGGATCACAAGGCCAGGGGTTTGGCCCCATGCCAGTGAAGCCATGAATTCCCCAGCCCTAGCCTGGAAAGGAAGGAAAGGGGGTTGGGGAAGAAAAGGCCCCAAGCAATGGGGACAATTCTCAACACCTCAGAGCCCCTCACCCCAACCCCCGTGCCAGCCCATATTCCTATTTGTGTTTCCCCCTCATCTCCAGATGGGAAGCTAGGCAAAGCCGTCCAAAGGGATACTATCATCCCTCATTAGATCACTGCCTTCTCCCTCCCTCCACTCAAGTTCCCCTGCTTCCTTACATTCTGAGGACGGGGAGTGTAAGGTGAGCCTTAGAGGCCAGGTTTGGGGATTGTATGATCTGTTCTCAACAGCCTCTAACCAGTGCATCTGTCCCTGTGCCCCACCCCCTCACCCCAGTCTTCTGGTTATTGCTTCCAGGCTGGTAGCAAGAGATAGGGCTGGCCTCCAGTGCCCGGTTCCCGGTTCACCCTAACCCAAGGTCCAGGAGGCTGGCTTCCAGAAAGGCTCTTCAAGAGCAAGCTTGAGAGAATGCAGTGCACCAAGTGGCTGTATGTATGTGGTAGGGTGTGTGTCTGTGTGTGTTTAACCTGTCTGTCCAGGTCAACCTGATGGGTATGTGTGGTGGGGAAATGACTGTGGTCGATTTGCTGTATGAAAGGCTGCTTAAGAAATGCAGTGGACTGAGGGCCTAGCCTGGCAGTCAGAAGCCTGGGTTCTAGTGTCAGCTCTGGTATTCTCCCTGGGCTCTTAAGCAGTTCCCAGGCTTCTCCAGGTCTTCAGTTCTCTCGACTGGAAAATTCAGAATAGCTGACATTACTAACAGTCTTTTCAGATCTGAAGAAATTTCTTCACAGGAATTTCTGAAGAGAGCTTTGAGAGCAACTAGGAGGCCTGAGGTGTGTGCTTGTGTAGACATAAGAAGCAAATACAGATTTGTTTGGGAAAGAGGTGTGTGTGTGTGTGTGTGTGTGTGTGTGTGTGTGTGTGTGATTTACAACTTTGTCATTTTTGCTTTTGCTGATCTGGGGGAGGAAAGCTGAGGCTGCAACTCAATGAGGAAGAGATGGTAGCTCTCCCTTGGCTGGCAGTATAGCCCTGCCTTCATTGGAAAACAACTGAAAACACAGACAGCCTCCTCGCACTGCTAGGTCTGTGCCCCACCAGTCTCCTGCCATCTGGCCAAAGTGTAGCTTCTCTGGGCCTCCTGCTGACCCTCCACACCTTCTGGTGTTTTCACTGTCATGGCTGCTCCCACCCACTCTCTGGGTGCCAGTCCTGGGAGGTAGGAGCTAGAGTGGGTGTGGTGAGAGGAAGAAATGAGGCTGTTGACTCTCCCTACACCACCCAGGGGCTGGCTGCCCACTCCAAAGTGTCGGAGTGTAGCTCTCCACTCCCCACAGCTTACCTCCCCTAGTGCAGAGATCCTAATTAGATGAGAAAATGCCAAAGGAGGCAAGGCAGAGAAAGTGTCTGCAGGGGCCACAAGGCCC